CGCGAGGGCTCCAGGGTGCTTTATGCGTTATTTAAAACAGTTCGGATCGTTCTATGGGAACAAAAATTTTTCGAAATATCAGTCAAGCATTTAACAGCGTATTCGTAGTGAGAGGAACGATTAAGCATCTTAAGCGTCTTCATTCCGACGATGCACCGTCAAATCGAAGAGCAACAAGATGATAATTCAATTTCTCATTAACGCGATAAACGTTTGCGAGCGTTAAGAAAAAATCGAATAATTAACGACGACCTCTCGTAAGTTGCCAGACTTGGCGCAGCCAAGCGGGCGATTTAATAAATATGCGAGAACATAAAAGAGCCGGAGACTGGATTCGTCCGTTGCTCCTTTCACCTGGCCGATTGGCAGAAGAAGGATTGGTCTGACGGCCGATAACTCAGTTGCCCCACTAACGGGTTTAAAAGACGGTGTAGTAAGGTAACACGCGTATAATTAAGTTCGACCAGTGCCCGCTAAAAACAATAGCTTGTACGCCAATTAACGGCTCGACAATTACTCCAATGCCATAATGATAACGGCTCGAAAAATTTTTAACCGAGCGCAAACTAGTCTGACAGAAAATTATTTAAATATCCTTATCAGATATCTATGACGGGTACAACAATTACAGATCAAGTATATACTCCACGGGGAACCCTAGGCGATCGCATAGGATTGCACTGGATGCACTGTGCTCGTACGTCACGCATACCGCATAGGGGATAGTTCAGAAACTATTGTCAATTACTATCGGAAGGTTCAAGTCAAACGCAAACGTAGATGTCAGACGACCGAGAGACACTATAGGAGAAACGATTGAGGCCAGCCAATCGATTGTCGATAGATTCAGTAATGGTCTTCAGTGGGAGGGGCAAGGGATTGACTGACCAGACAACCATCTGGCAATTTTCTGGACCTTCCTCAACAGTACACCACAGTGGTCTGTGCAGGGTCTGGATAAAGTAGTTACGTCGCATGGTGTATAAGGTATAATAATCATAAATAATTGCATAGCGACAATGATTTTAGGTCATATTGAAAGACTATTGGAACGGATTGCGAACGGACAATTTTATTTCTACCGATCGTAGCAGGCTGTGCTTTAGACACGTGTCTTGTCGGAATAAGCTAAATGGAAATTTTTAAAATAATTTCAATAGACCATCGGCTTCTTCTGTTTTGGATCGATATACATATATAGGATATACATATATAGTATATACATATATGAATGACAATTTCCCGCATAAAATGTATAACCATTCGGAGTGAAATTAATGATTTTCATTTAAGTATCTGTCATACGCAATAAATCATGCTAACGACACTGGATGTATCAATTAAATTTCGTATTGGTCGTAATGAGATTAGAAATTATGCCTATATGTATCTTTCGCTACGGTAAACCTGGGAGCGTGACTCATATAAACTTGTTAAAAACGGGATAGTGCGGGAGACTAATGTGTTAATATATTAATTATTCACTTCGTTTGAAGTGTCATTAGATAAGGAACTTTAGAGATGATTTGAATAATGATTTATCTATATATGAGGCGTATAAAGTGTATATTCACGGTATCATCCAATCACAAGAAATACAGATAATCCAATAAATTAATATTAACCAAAATCTCATTGTCAATCGCACTTTTAATTTTCCATAGCATCGCGTACGTAATCGAGCTAATTCAATATCTACACAGCGTGACCTGTCTTACAGATTCAAGTGAAAATTCGTCAATTCACAAACATCTCAGGATAGTCTTGCGCGGGTCGTTTGATCCTAATCGAGTAATTCTTTCGAATTAACTACAAGTTCGGTCCTCTGGTTAGGTCTAATGCGCCGCGCGGTGTATGCTCGCAGACTTGTAGCGCATACGATCTTAAACACAGCGTGCATAGAGGCGACGAGACCCGTTTGTGCTTCTTGATGCAACTTCGGTAGGATCCTCGTTTGACAATATTACTATTATTTATACTGCATGATTTTGACCGTACTTCTTCAAAGACTTGAGTTACCCGTTTCTGAGATCTGAGCTGAACTTGCCTGAAACTTTCAGCCGTATGGTTGAAGATTTGTCAAATTTTATCGAAACGTCCATGCAGATCAACTTTTTCGGAACCATTTGAGATTTCATTCGTGAGACATTTACGAGGGGCAAATTGTTTACCCGCAATGAGAACGCACGTAGAGACTTCTAACTATTAAGTTCATGTAGCAGATATATATGCGATAACTTTCTTCTCTTTCCTAATAACCGTACAACGAAAAACGCGAGTAATTTCTATGAGAATGAGCTTCAGTATCGATATATTAAATTCATAAGACTGCATGATTTCGTTGTTCGATGTAAGAATGTAAAAGAGAATTCTGCCTCGGCCACGAAATCGTTTCCGATGTATGTATATTAACATGCGGCCGATATTGATGATTCTCGTGAAAAAAAAAAAAAAGAAGAATCAGAAAAATATGGAAAATGCGTATAGAGACGAGCATGAAGTAGGACGCAAACGATGCCAAGAAGCCCTCAAGAATGATATATAGATGAAGCCAATACCGTTCGCGGGTTCTGGTCCATTCGGGCTCGTAGTGGGTATCTCGTTATTTACTATGCGTTGCGTAACGTCAAATTGAATTTGCGAAGTTGGATGGACCCCCGGGGGCAGGACAGCCGAGTGCCCAAGTCGCCAACCTGTCTAGCAAGTTAACTGTATCTCGAAGCCACATCATAAAAACCTATGTGAAGTTAGCATTACAAATTCGGCTTATTAAAGTTTTTGCTTTTTCCATTAAAAAACTGGTCGTCGCTAGCTGGTAATTGGCTGACTTATTAAAAACATTTGGTCGCCGATCAATTTTTCGGAAAATCAAATATAAAATTGCACACTAAAGATGATTGATGAAAATTTGACTTCTCGTTAGGTATGTCCGGTAAAAGTTTAATCAACGTGTAATTTTTTGATAGTCGCCAATTAGCAAATTAGATCTTCTTTTAGCGGGCATCGAATAACGAGCCCTTATGCGTATCGCATTTGGAGAAAATTTGTTTCATTTTATCTGATACTATAAAAAAAAATATCTGAACAATATTAGCTATTCAGACTTCATGTAGGTACGATATACGAACGTAAATAATTATTACATTTTATTTGAGATTAAAAAAAAAATTTGTTATCATGCTGTTAAATAATTTCAGAAGCATCAAAACACGGCCTCTTCCAAATATCATTAACGGATAATACCATTTCACGTAAGACATTTGTTAGTAACGATCAATTTCATGCAACATGACCTTTTCTGTTGTTTTTCAATCAATAGCTGGTGATCCTTTATGATAAGGAATACTTATTAGATACGGCCTTGATCTTAATCTTATTCAGATGCACGTATAAATTACTTCACTGCTGCCACTACTTGACTTGCTTCGTCGTTTTTTCGGAAATTTAATTTGGTAGAAAAGATTTAAGTGCCAAATTTTTTAATTTGAATAATTAGAACCCAAAAATAACCTTCATTAAAAAAATTTTATACAATTAAAGACGGAGTTTTACGCCGATGGAGTCCATGAGTTACCAAGCTAACGTTATCACTTGTGAATCTCTTAAATCTTGACGTTGGCTCTGCTTCTGCCTTAATTTCAAGAGTTCATATGTAAGTCGACCAATCACGTTGTCCTACAAGGATTTTCGTACGGTAAACCGGCACCCGACTAACTAAAAGATACTACTCACCCTCAGTTCAATTTTTTGGATCCAAAAAAAAAAGCATTAGGCTTCAACATTGTCATATGTTGTTATATGACAGGTCTATATATACATACGTAAATAGTTTAATGGAACTGAACAAACATATCAAATCCGTACTAATTGTATACCTATAGTTCGTTCAAGCGGGAAGGATAATTGGAAGGGCCATCTTCCTACAACTTTCAATGTAACGATATCCCCTAGAATTCATTTTTTTTTTTTTTTAATAGTCTATGGTAATGATGGTAGACGAATGAAAGAAGCTCGAAATAAAATTGACAAGAGTGAATTTTTGATTGCGTGACGTGATCGAGAGAGCAAAGTTCACGGGTGTGAGACGAAAGTACGTAATGGAGTATGGAAGTTGAAATGAGATTTCCGGTAGGAATTAATGAGATTTTCAGTGTGAGTACAGAACCCGTGTTCCTCATGATACTATTGAGTTTTCTCCATAGTATACGTATGTATGCAAATTAAATTGATTTGTCTACCCAACGAAGGAATCGTTAATGTTATTATGTCTATCCTCATAAAATAGTCTCTCACGGCCATCGCCATCTGTTATTCGCAATTCAAATGAATCTATAATCCACGCTAGAATGTTTAATATCGTGGTCGGACTCTGTAACGGATGAGACTATCGTGTTGGGTGTTCGTGTATTTTGTATGAAAAATTTACTATAGCAACGTAAAACACAACAGAGGGACAATGACAATTCGAAAAAAAAACCTAATTCAATTTTTTCAAAGGACAATTATCGATTGTTAATACGTATGAGTATTTTTAAAAAATCACGTAACATCAATAATCGTGTAATATAGAGCAAATTTCAACAGACTAGGGCAATTTGTCAATGGATATGAAAAATCCAAAAAAATGAATTCTCCCAACATTGGGATAGTGAATCGATCGATATTCGATCGACACCGCCAGGTTGACTCGATGTACTTGCGAACCGTGAATCTGGCCAGTGACGTAAGGTCTGCTGACCTTGTTATGGTCAAATCCATGATCTGGCCCTGATGCCGTCCACATAATTCGACAAGGGTAAATTAATAGACCCATATTTAGAAACGGTGCACATTCCGATTAATAAATCGTAACCGATGATACCCAGTCAACTAACGCGAATAACAGAAAAAAATATTCAACAAAACATGTATAGGTTGATAACAATACCGACATCCATACAAGTATAAATGACGAAGGAAACGATGACGTCGATCCAAGAGTAATGATAAAGAAAACTGACCTTGAAACCGCCGTGTCTATTGTGACATGACGATGATGCGAATGAGTACCCTGTTGTTGCTGCTGCTGTCGTTGTTGCAAATGATTATCCACGTGATGCGCAGGACGAAGATTTTGATAATGAGGATGTTGGGGGGTTACAGCACCCCCCATACACGGTTGCTGATGTTGGGACCACATAATTTAATCTACCAGGATAACACTGGTCGATAAACACATACACGCCAAAACACGGTGCATCGAATGGATGTTCATTTCAGATATAGTAACGATAAATGTGCCCATAGCGGCCATTTTGGAGAAGAGTTTATCGTATTTATTTCACCTTGTTTGTCACGTTAAAATTAGCCTTGTGCATAATCTACGCACTTAATCGCGTCTGAGGAGAGATAAGACCGTTTTATCGTGGTAGAGGAAGTCGGCGAATCATCAAATATTATCCATTCAATTCAGAGTTCGTCCTCGCCGACCGCGAAATTGTTTCCTCTAATGAAAAAGTCATGGATTCGTGCTTACCCAGCGACCAAACGAGATACTACAATCTGCCAGCTGTTTTTACTTTTATAAGCGAAGGGGACTTTACGTTCAAGTTCCTCTATCTTTTTCTCTTTCTCTCTCTCTCTCTCTCTGAGCACAAGATACAGTCGCCGATGCGAGGCTGAATCACAAGACCGATTTCCATCGCGCGACAAAACACCAAATCTGTTATTCAGAATTTCAGCGAACCGCGCCTGCAATATTATTCTTATTATGAAATGCAATTGCAACGATATCACGTCAGTCCATCAGTACCACAACCATGCTCTTGGCGCAGCTGTGTCGTTCCATTTGATTTTTCGACAGAAGACAGAAGAGCTCTCGTACATGCTCGACTTCATCGTTCAGTTTGACGTGTCAACCTACTGTTTCGTGCGATTTTACTGCGCAGAAACCATTGCCAAGATCCGGCTGGGAACAGCTGACAAATCAGCAGACGCGTCAAAACACATATATTTTCGTCATATCACCAGAAATGCTGTAACCAGTCACATTACCGTTACCGTGTAAACGCACTCGACAGCATCTTACGAACAAAGACTTGAGACGCACGAGAATTCTTGTCTCATTGGAAGCCAGAGAGACACATACTCCAGCGCGTGCAAGTCGCACAGGTTGACGGGAACGTGGCCTTGACACTGTATCCTAGATTATAGTCTCGACCAGATGGCAATAAATTCGAATAACCCTTGTGCGGCGTCCCCACTCTTACGCACGTGACTCTCTATCGTAGACCAACTTTAAGAGATTTACAATCGTCGATTTATTTTAATCCATCTGTTATTAATGTCTGCAGACATAAATCTCGACCGATTTCTTCTATCTGGCCTTGCTCCGCGAGTCTCGGCTTGTCTCTTTACGTCACAAGAGCAAACGACCGCGAGACGACAACACCGCTCGAAAAACACTTGAGACAGATTTCAATGCCCCGAATCGTCCTCCGTCGTGAAGAGTCGCGACGCTCCTCTCGATATTTACTACTGCAATACCCACTCGTGTAATACGCAGCTTCGGTAGAGAATTCCTACGGAGGTTTCAAGGTTATGTCAAAGTACTGTCACTGTATCATTATGCACACATATACATGTATATCTACAGGTAAAAGAGCGTCATTTAGCTAAGAGACCTAACCTTTCTGTGCGTTGAAATGTACACGAGTGAATATGGTGTACATCTATACCGAGACATAATAACGTGATAAAATGACAATCAACACAGATGCTGCTGGTGGAGAAGGAATTTTTCATACAAATTGGGCAAGAGTACCAACAACAACTAGCACTATAACATAGTCGCGATAGGTGATCATGAGACTTGGTCGAGTATCGCGTAAATGTTACGGAGGACTCGGAGCAGCACGCGATGCCTCGTAACGTACACTCCCGTCGCCGGTCCGCCACGAACTGGCGGCCGGAGATTTCCCCCACTCTAACCTTTCTGCTAGCCTGTATATCCCTACGTCGAGACGCCCGATTCCCCACCAGAGGGCGAGTCTTATTCGCCCCCACCAAATATGCACCGAAGTACCCGTCCTCTTGAGAAGCCATGCGGAGTAGCGATAAGTGTCTGGCCAATGTTTCATTATATTTTGTCATGTCATATAGAGTATGTCTGAAATGCTTTTAATGTGTACGTTACATCGACGAGGAGCTGTTACGTCGAGAAGTCTCTTTCTCGACAGCTGCGTATAGCGACTGACGAATATCTACAGGGAATCTTAACACGTTGAGAACGAGCACCGGACGGACAGTATTCACCGACGAGTAAGCCTGTAATTTAATTGGAGCTCGTATTTGCGCGTGGAAATTTCACTGGCTTACTCACGACAAGTCTTTAATTATAACCGGATGATCAGTGGCGACCTTGACCTAGCACAGTCACCGCAACGGAGGACAGTGGAGACAACAGTACATCGGGGACGCTGCAATGTCGACGGAATGTATGGTAAAATTGCGTGATAATATTTGCCGATACTGGAAACGTCAAATGACATTAAATAACGATCTAACGATATCGGATAAGAGTTTTTGCGATCGAAAGTGAAAATTCATCCGAACAGATTTTCCGATTAACTATCTAACGAATTATATATTGAAAGGCATTTTCGGTATTTTAAATTAAGTTTTTTGTCTGTTATCGAAATTTATGATAAACTAAGTGGCTCCGTACCCAATGAAGAAAATTTTCGGGAATATGAGGACGTAAGATTTCTCTGTCCCCCCTCTCCACCCTCTCATTCTTTGACTGTGCGGTGTTTCTCAAAGGGATGATCGTGCGTATGTGGCTCTTTGGCGGTTCGTTAAATAATTCGAAACTGCATCGGGTGGGCCGACTGCATCGATCAAACATTCGTGCGTCGGGTGCGCGTCGGCCCAGCACGTCCTTATACGAGCCCATTCACTTAGAGACATGAAAGTAAATTAATTAAGACGCTCGCAAAGTGCCGCGTTCGGCCTCTGATTAATCGTTTGGAAGCGATGGCAATTAATCTCGTAGAGTAAGTGGCGCGCTTTTAAAATGCTCTCAAAACTATAAGATTTTCATGATGAGAGAGAAAGGGAGTGCCAAGAGGAAAGTGAGCAAGAGAGAATAAAAAGTGAAGTGAAAAAATCCCACTTGATCCCACGTAAAATCTTGTTGTTCCGTTCGTTGGGGCGAAACGTTATAAGGAGATTTTCGGCGATTCCAACGAAACCCGTCATTTCCACTCGATAAGAATTTTCAATAATTTTCGTTAACGACCAACGGCTTTTATGACAAATACGTGGAATACGATTCGAGTCTAGGAATTTTTACGTCTGACCACTCCGATATTGTCTGCATGGTTGGCATATATGTATATATGAACGGTCAGGTGCGTCACATCGGAACTCTACAGCGATTGGTAGAGAAATTCAAAATCTTCCTGCGCAAATAAGACGCTAATTATTTTTCGGAACTGTTTGTCGTTGCTTTTTTCTTCGTTTTTAGGCCGTTCCAATCGTTTTCGATCGACACGCAATATTATCGTCTGGATCCCTTGTAACTGCCACGCCGAGACGTAAGAAAGAAATTCATAAAATATCACAGCCCTTTGAGATAAAGTCGACCAGACCGTTTCCGAAGTATTTTCATCGCATCTTCGTCCGGTTAATACGGTTGATCAACACGTCTCTTCGCGAAGAGCAAAAGAAACAAGGGCGGACGGGAGACGATATAAAGACACGCAATTTTTCCAAAGATTCTCGACAATAAAGCAATCTACTTTTACCGCTATATTTTCTATAAGTAAGTTGCCGCACGCGATAAATAATAAAGAATTATCGATAAATGATTATCACGGGCTATAAAAAAAGGTAATACAACAATTTTTTATCTTACCCGTAAGTGGTTGTACTCTCTGGCAAACAGGCTGTGGAGGAGGCTCCACATTCATCATCGTCCAAGTCGTCTTTCATTTTCTCAGAATACGCCTGAAACATAAAATTACTTTATGAAACAGTCCCAGGTAACAAGATTTCAAAATTTTTATCGGTATCGTGTACCGGGAGAACATATACATATATACAGTACGTACATAAGGTGTGCAAAAAAGGGACCACATATAAGGATGAAAATTCTGAAATGAGTAAAAGCCGTTATGAGCGTTTTTTTGCCAATATCGAAATTATTAACATCGAGTACGTTAATCTTTGCAAATTTGACAAAATTCGTAGACTCTCTTAATACACGTATGTGAAATATGGTATATCACGGTCGATCGTCACCGAAAAAATAGTCTGTTATTTGACGTGGGCGTGACAGGACGTCGAGTAAGCTCAAACGCTCCTCTTAGTAACAGAGAGAGAGAGAGAGAGAGAGAGAGAGAGAGAGAGAGAGAGAGACTTTTCGAATGAAATACTCGTAATGACAGCGAAACGGACGAAGACGACGTCGACGTCGATGAAGCATGACGAGACACTTTTTTATTTTTCCTTCTGGCAATCTCTCTCTCTCTCTCTCTCTCTCTCTCTCTCTCTCTCTCTCTCTCTCGCACTCGTCAAATGAACCAGATTCATTTTCTCGGATGTCAAAACATATCTTGTGTCATCAGCGAATATAAACATCGCCGTTGTGCAGTGAAAGGTCAAGTCCGAAAAAAAAAGAGAAGGAAAAAGCTCAAAGCGATCATCGCAGATGAATGGCTGACCAGAGAATTCTAGCGACCTGTCGATCTTCCAAATTTGCGCTAAAAGCTTGGACGAATTTCTTTTTCTTCAAAATAATGAATCATCCAAATCTTTCCATAATTACCCTATATACAATGGATCACGATAATGATGAGGCTGATGATCATGCATCGTTTTTTTTTCTCCTTGCAATATCATGCGAGTCGCTGAAGCACGACGTAAAGGCGAGTCCACACTACGCAGACCCTTTGTTCGAGTAATGCTTTTCGTATGCATGAGTCGTAAAGTTAAATCTCAAGGGAGCTCGTATACTAGACTGTGGATCGCATTACGCGGCGTGCATCCGAGTAGCCTCTACCCGAGCGACAAAGTCGATTATTGTGAACGCGCCTTAAGATTAATTTTCAAGGACGATACGATAGAGTCGTTACCAGTTACGTCATTTTGTGTGTTAAAATTCAAATGAGAGAGAAAGAGAGAGAAGTTGTTGAATGATGATCTGTCAGTTTCCCAATAACTGGTTTTTCCACGTAGAGCATCAACAACTACCCTAAACAAGTACGCCGTGCGTATAGTTTTGCTTGGTGAAACGCAATTTATTAAAATCAAAAATAAAAACAGGCACGAAGCATCTAGATGTTAGATAGAAAAAGAACTATATTGCTTTTCAGAATGCAAAAGTGAAGCATTCAATCAAACGTGTTAATCTAACTTATGTACTCATTTTCTTATATATTATCGCGCCACTTATCACGTAAACAGACATAAATCGCGATAGGAAATAACATTCATAATTCTAAGGTGCATGTATTCGAATCAGACTCAATCCGTTGTTCAACGACCACCTTAAGAAACGCGTCCAGTGAACGACGAGCCGTGTTAAAATCATTATATATATAGATATAATTTACGTGAACGTGTCCAATTGAGCGACCTGATCATTGACTGGTAAAATCACCCTAGGCAATCTACGTAAATCTCGTAAAATTATCAGAATTCCTTTGAGCGTTAAACGGTCGAATGTCATTCTGTGTTAATAATACAATACTAAACACAACCCTTTCATCCTTCGACTTACACGGAAAAAAAAAATTATTTCATTAGACAATCCGTTTCGTTGCGCTCCTCACGCCGTGGCCCAACAAACGTCTACAGTCTGTCGAGTACATTTCAGACTGTAGCTTTTATTCGTGGTACAGTATATTCTGTTTCTTTCTTGACTATACGTATCAATCTGTAGATAGGATTACGGGATAGGTATTTGTAAAAGAGAAATTAGTGAACGGCCATATCCTCCTCTTATTATTTTTTTGTTTAACGAGTCATCATAAGCTATAAGTTTTTTTATCCAGCGCTGAAGATGTCCTAGGACAAAAGTAAGCGATTCAGACTCCGTAGGTAACAATTGCTACTTACCCTAAGTAATGAGGCTGTCTACGTCCCACTCAAACTGTATTTCCCATATGGCAATAGGTAATTAAAGAATCAGGTCATATCTCACTAATCATCGATAAATAGAAAAATATAATACAATCTTCCTTTACTGAAAGACAGGCAGCTGGGTCCTCTCTGTGCAGTGGGTACCTTCTGTTATAATTACTGAAAAACTGGTAATGCTATTTCGCTATTTTCCCGTGACGAGGCAGCACCCTGAAGGAATCATTCTAGGTTAGATGCGCAAAACAGAGCTTCTTTGTAAATTTTTTAAAGAATTTATTATTATAGATGTTGATATAAAATTTGTTGGGCTTAATAATTACACTCTCGAAATACGTAAAATAATTTTTTTAAATTTATTTTAAACACTTTTTATACACAAAAATAACAGGCAAACGTAACTCCTCGAAAAATAGATATGTCGCTGGCGGCGTTGATATCTCGATAACGGCGCATCAAAAACGAAAAAATCCAAAATATTTAGATTCGGTATGACTGCGGCTCTCGCGCATTCGATGGATATTAATATTTATTGATAAATAATAAAATGGCGGAGATTTTAAAAAACGAAGTTCTTTTTTCACTGCTTTTGGCAAAAAAAATAGTAAAAATTAAAATTTAAATACGGTTATAGAATGCGCTGAAGCTATTCATGTGTAGAATTTGTGATTAAAATTTCATAAGGGTCGGTTCAGTGGTTCCGAAGAAATCATCGCCGTCGACCGAAAAAAAAACTTTGTTTTGAGAAAAACGCGTTTAAAGTTTAAAAGGCAGGTCGGCCGAGCATGCTCAGGTAGTAAAGGTAGCAACG